AACCTTAGTCAAGTTTCCGTCTTCCACACGCCTCTGTTTACCCAGCAGTAAGTAGGAACCCGGTTGTTAGTTGATTGGTGGATCGCTTTCCAGGGGTAATAACCCCTAAAAAATAATTGGTCATTCAATCTATGAGTGTTTGTGGGCTACTGCTGTGCGCAATTCACTTTACAGAATATTCTGTGAAGGGCTTTGAGAGATCTCAATGATGTGTTGTGATAAGGGGTTATATCAAATGCAAGTATGATGATTAACATTATTATTATCTATCACCTCCCTGGCCCAGGCTTTCCTGTTCAATCTCTCCTCACAAATCTTCCCCTCAATTCCCCAACTTACCCGCACAACACTCTGCAACAACTGAGTTTCCTGGTGTTGGATCTTTCTGGAATAGAGATAACAACAACTTGCATTTATATAGCGCCCGTCACGTGGGGTAGCGTCCTGGAGTGCTAACTTTGCACACAAGACTCCACACGTGGCCTCACCGATCAATTCCACCTTTGCTCCCCTGAACCCAACCCCTTCTCACTCACTCCCACAGTCACAATTATAATAATCCTTACGATTGGTACAGCGCTTTATCACATCATTGAGACATCTCAAATCGCTTCACAGAATATACCGTGAAGTGGAGTGGCTGTGTTTTGTGGGCAAAACGATCAAATATACAAACTTCTTGAATGACTACCAACATGTGTTGTGAACGCACTGTGCTGACAGGCTGGCATCGGTGGCAGATGTGAAGAAATCCAATGAATTGTTGAAATGAAGCTGTTTCTCTTGGGTGGATTTATTGCTCGCTCGCTCCTCATTGAATGTGGGAATCAATGGTTCAATGGCCCGTAGGATGCACTTGTTAATGTGATTTTGATATAAAATCCAGTGGGAGTCTGGCATCGGGCCCCAGCCAGCACGATAGATGGGAAATCCCTGTCAAACACCCTCCCTCCTGAGGTCTGAGCACCCACATTCAACCCAACTACCAGCTCGGGTCCAAATCCCTGATTGTCCAACACCTTGGGATGTTCTGCCAACATGAAAGGCACTGTATGTAAGTGCCATGTGTTGTTGTCATCCTTGTTTGTTGGAGTGAAAAGCACAAACTTGTTCATTGAGATAATACAATAATAATAATCCTTACATTTGCCACATCACTTTGTCACATCGTTGAGACGTCTCAAAGTGCTTCACAGGATTTACCGTAAAGTGTAGCAACTGTGTTTTGTGGGCATTAGGGAATATCCTACAAACAGCCATGAAGTGAGTGACTCATTTTATTTGGGGGGGGGGGGGGGGGGGGAGGGGAGGGGTTATCTGGGGAGGATTGTCAGCCAGGAAACCAGGAGAAGCTCCCCAACTCCATTCCCTTTTCCAATTGCGCCACAGGATCTTTAACGTCCACCTGAAAAGGCTCGGTTGGGACCTCAGTTCGACGTCGGTCTGATCCAGGAGGTGGTGGAATCATCTCAGCGTGTTTCCCCAGGGCATGCGGTGGTGGTGAGGGGGGTGGGGGGGTGGGGGTGGGGGGGGATGTGGTTAATTAATAAAATAAGTTTATTATTGGGAGCTGTCCAGGTGCTGAAGTCCCAGTGACTGAGTGTTTGCAGACTTTCTCTCACCTCTGACAGCGTTCATTCACATCAATCAGCTCACATTATTATCACATCAAAACATTGCTGCTCTTCATCTGCTGCACTCCTCTATCTCTATCTCTCTCTCTCTTTGCTCTCTAAAGTCCTCCCTCTCTCTTCCTGTCTTCTCTCCCTCTCTCTCTGACCGGTCACTGTGGGATCAGTCTGACATTTGACATAGTCTAAGCTGATGCTCCAATGCAGTGCTGGGGGTTGGAGAGTTGGGTGGGGGTTAAACCGAGGTCCCGTCTGCCCGTTCAGGTGGGCGTTAAAGATCCCGGGGTGCTATTCGAAAAGAGAAGGGGGTTTCTCACTCCTGGCAGCCAGGCCGACAATCCCCCGGGCAAACTTTTGTCACTCAATCCACGACTGTTTGTGGGACGCTGCTGTGCGCAATTGGCTGCCATGTTTCGCCCACAAAATACACAGTCACTACACTTTACAGTACATCCTGTGAAGCGTTTTGAGAGATTGCAACGACATGATGAGGTGCTGTAGCAAATGCAAGGATTATTATTATTATTATCATCATCATTATTTGCCAAAGCAGAGCTGTTTGTGGTGGAGGTCAGACACAGACTGTGACACAGGGACCCAGACTGATCCAGACTAAAGCCAGTCTCACTCACTGCCATTCGCTGTATATATCCCAATGTCAGCACACGTCAGCCTCATTCCCCCCCACCCCACCTCCCCCTCCCCCCAGCTCACAGTGAAACAACCACAAACTGCATCTCACTCGGAGGCTATTATATACCCTCCCCCCCCCCCCCCACCACCCTAATCAATCCCTGGGTTAGATTCCAGCCTGTACTTCGCTCCCAGCCCTCCAGACCCTTCCACAATCCTGCCCGTCCCTACAGCAGGTCAGAGAGGTTGTTGTCTGGGATCGAACCCGGCCTGAAAGGCATTGTTGTTGTCGTCGTCACGTTGTTGTTGTTGTCGCGGTGAGAATCTGGAGCGGGCTGTGATGGAGGGGTTCATGTCAACCTCCTCCCGAGCCCCGGAGTGAGAGAATGAGCGAGAGAGTGAGTGAGAGTGAGAAAGAGAGTGAGAGTGCTCTAACCACTGAGCTACAGGACTCTCAGTTTGGTGTTTGCCGACACGCGACGCGGTCGAATAATGTGGTTGTCTCTCGGCCGCCCCTCCCCGCGGCACGGCTCCACACGGCGACACTGTGCGGCTGAAGCCGTTTCCCAGGTTCCTCCCGACGCACTGAGACACAATGTAATCACAGCTTATCGACTGGCTTGTGCTGTGACAGGAATGTAAACCCTCGCTCCCAGCTGAACGTATCTCCTTGATTTAATCATGGAAGAACTTAGCGTCTTCTGTCTTCCTCAATGCTGAATGTTTTAGGGCTGTTTCACTGCGACCTGGGCTGCCCCCGACTCTCTGTAATACAGCATCTCGGCTGCCATGTCTCACTCCCAGGCCCCAGTGTCAGTCAGCCCTCTGCCTGAGCTCTTGGCCTCATGTAGGCTGTTGCTCGCCAACCCTTGGTGAGGCCTTAGTCACAGGAACATTGGCCAAGCTCAAGCTACCTGATCAGGCTCGGTTCTCACCCCTGCACGCCAGCGGGCTGTCAGCTCTCCACTCTCACTCCATTACCTGCTCGCTCGCTCGCTCGCTCTGGCTCTCTCCCCCCATCGTGTCTGTGCTGGGGCTCGCTCCCCCACTGGAGCTCTCCCCTCTAACCCCATTCCCTGCTTGCTCGTTCTCTCTCTCTCTCTCCCCATCGCGTCTCTCCTCAGACAGCCCGGAGTCTCTAAACTCTTCCTCCTGTTGCTTGGCACTGAGCAGAGCGTGGAGTTGTGTTTGCTGTGGGGATGAAAGCCTGACTGCCTTCAGCACGTCTGTGATGCTGGGAGTGAGCATCGCGAGGAAAGGGAAGCTTTGATATGAAAGCAGCTGGGTTTACATGCCGGGCGCTGACAGGTCAGGCTGCTCTGCCGTGCGTGCACGCTGCTCTGCCCATTGATTCAACCCTCTGGAGTCTGTCTGAAAATCAGGGCAGAACTGAAGACTCATGTCTGTTCGTGTTTCACACACACACACACACATAGCAGAGGCCCTCAGCAACCTGCTGAACACTCACTCAATCAACCAGATCTGCTCGCTATCACCCTCTCTCTCTCTCTCTCTCTGTCCCCTTCCCTCTCTCATTCTTTTTCCGCGTTTGCCTACAAATAGTCACCCCGTTTCACAGTTTTTTCTGTGAAGCGCTTTGAGACGTGATAAGGCGTTGTATAAAAATGCAAGGATTATTATTATTATTCCTCCTTCCCTCCCTCTACCCCATCACTCTCTCTCTCTCTCTCTCCCCCCCCCCTTCCCATCCTTCTGTCTCTTTCTCCTTTCATTCTCTTTCTCCTCCTCTCTTCTCTCTATCTCCCTGCGTTTAGTGTAGACGCCTCACAGGGCTGTGTTCGTCACATGTTGTGGTTTAATATGAATTATCATAAGATAATCCTGCTCTGCCCTGTGCTGAGCACAGCCTCACATACACTTTACATCCTCACACACGTCAGTGAAGCCGGAGTTAGTGCCTGGTAACCAGAGGATGAGCTGTTTGCTGTAACTAGGTAACGGCTAACCAGACTGGCCTCACTCTGCGACAGCGATAATAAAGATCCGACTCCTGTAACTGTCCCCCTCCAGCACCCAGACCCTCTCGCCTGCTCCCAGCTCAGTAATTGAAAGGCAGAGAGTGAATCGTCTGCGCTTATAAATATTAATCTCGTTCACACACACCATGCACACGGCACACACCATACACACCGCTCACACCATGCACACGGCACACACCATACACACCGCTCACACTACACACCATACACACGGCACACACCATACATACCCCACACAGCACACACCACATACTGCACACACCACATACTGCACACACACACACACCAGCGGGAGGGAGTGTGGCGCCTCGGGAGTGGTGAGAGATTGAGACAGTATGAGAGAGAGTGTGTGAGCGCGAGAAAGAGAAAGGGTGTGGTGATCGAGAGGAGAGAGAGAGAGAGAGGGAGGAGAGAGAGAGCAGAGTCGTGGCTGGTGAGACCTTGTTTATGGACCAAACTGAAATCTTCTGAAAGAAGCGCAAAGGAAAGATAGTGAAGACAGAGCAGTCGCTGAACAGAAACTCCCGGCAGAGGAGAAGAGCAGAGTTACAGCAATACAGGCCCCATTCGCTTGGTCAGCAATGATTTAAATAATTACAGATAAGAGTAATAAACCATCCCTGGGGACATCCTCCCGACATAAGAGGCTGCTATACAAACTTAATTTGTTGTTGTTGTTGTCCCTCAGCCCCTGGGTCAATATGTGGGGGTGAGGAGGCGGGGGGGGGGGGAGGGAGTGAGGAGGGGGTCGTGCCTCAGTCCCTGGGTCAGTGTTGGGACCGAGAGGGGCTCAGTGCCCAGGCTGTATCCTCATTTCACAACATCTCTCGCAGACGGTGTATCTCCCTCTCTCTCTCTCATCACTTCCATCGTTCATCCCGTTCTGAGTCCCATTTCCTGACGTGGAAGGCGCGATACAAATGTAATTTGTTGTCGTTGTTCCCAGTCTCATTCCCGTTCCCATTTCCCGGGCCCCTCAGCCCATCCCTGGATGCTCGTCCTGCTCCCAGTCAAAGTCCTCTCCCGTCATCTGGTGGAACATGAGGTTGAAGGGCCGGTAGAACTTGTGGAGCCGGTGGATGACATCTGTGTCGATGCTCGGGTGAGTCCTGCCCTTGGATTTGCCGAGGCAGCGAGGGGGGCTGCCCTCCTCGGCCTTTCTCAGGCACGGGAAGCCCTTGGTCTTGTTGAAGTAAAAGTGTTTGTCCGACACGAGGCGTTGGAGCCCCAGGAAGTCCTGCACTTTGCCCATCTCCCCGGCCGGGTCGATAATCAGCCTCTCTCCGCTGACAAAGTGGATCTGGGACAAGGGGAAAAACTGCAACCAGTTCTCCAGGTGTAAGGCGTAGATCCCGATCCGGATCGCACTCCAGGAGGCGTCCACCAGCCCCAACGAGCGGTTCTTGAAGGCCAGAACCTCGAAGGTGGGGATGTCCGGTTTCTTGGCCAGGGTCTGGGTGTAGTCGGAGATGGCTCTGGTCACCGGGTTCCTCACCACCACGATCAGCTTGGTCTCCTTCGCCATCGAGAAGATTCGCCTCGGAGCCTCACGTGTCACAAAGTAACTGGGCGTCTTCTCCATCGTGATCTGCCCGTCCCAGGTCCTGGGCATCAGCTCTCTGAGAGAGAGGGAGAGAGAGAGAGTGTTACAGGGAGCGCTCTGAATCCCCTCTATCCTTGGCCTCTCTCTTTCTCTCTCTCTGTGAACATAAACACTGCTCATTTTTTCCTGTGTTTACTGCGTGATAAATGTGTGCAGCTGGCACAGTGAGGCGTGTTAGCTTGTGTGTTGCATGTGGGAGGGGAGGCGTGTGCGCAGTGTGTAACAATGCTCACGGCACACTGACTGACACACACATCAATACACTCACAGCTCACGCTCACCGCCTTTCAACTAAAGCTACTGGCTATTAAGAGCGCGTGTGAGAGGCCTCCTTACCGTGCGGGGCTGGGGAGTGAGTGTGTTGAGTGAGTGTGTGAGCATGTGTGTGAATGAGTGAGTGAGTGAGTGAGTGTGTGAGCATGTGCATGTGTGTGAGTGAGCATGTGTGTGAGTGAGTGTATGTGCGTGTGAGTGAGCATGTGTGCGTGCGTGAGTGTGTGTGAGTGAGCATGTGTGTGCGTGAGTGTGTGTGAGTGAGCATGTGTGTGTGCGTGAGTGTGTGTGAGTGAGCATGTGTGTGAGTGGGTGTGTGAGTGGGTGAAAGCAACAGCCCGAGAGCAGACACAGGGCTGGTGACAATCAGCTGTGTGTTAAACTGCGTGTGTGATCCCACAGGCAACCCTGCTCTGAACTGCGGCTCACGCTCCCCCCTTTCTCTTTCTCTCTCTGCCTATTACTCTCACACTCCCTCTCTTCCTTCTGCCTATTGCTCTCACGCTGACCTGCCCCCGACAGCGCTCTCATCATCGGCTGAATTTTGCTCCTGCACAGGGAGTGAGTGAGAGACCAGCGGGAGGGAGGGGGTGAGGGAGGGAGGATGGGGGCGCTGGTGGGAGGGTGGGGGTGAGGAAGGGATGGAGGGGGTGAGGGGGGGAGACGCCAGGCGGCTAATTGAAAGCCGACGCCGGTGGTGACAGTACCAGCTAATTGACACTGGCTGCCGCCCACGTGTGTAATAAATAAAGTATGAGGCAGGAAACGACTCCATCTGTAACACGGGAAGCTTCACCTGTGCTCTCTCTCTCTCTCCCCTCCAGTCTCTCTTTCTCTGTCTGTCTGTCTGTCGATGCTCCTAACTCTCCCTCTCTCTCTCCCCCTCTCTCTCTCTGGGCTCATTCTCTTTCTCTGCTTGTTGTTGTTTACGATACAAAATGACATTGGTTTTGCGCCTTTTCACGTCGAGAGGACGATCGTTTAAGAGGCCTTTAATCAGCTAAAGCCACAGTTTGTCACTGCGAGCTCTGTCCGGCACCTTAACCTGTTTTCGATTTCCCGACCGGCGGAAAACACCCACATCCCCAAACCAGGATCATCACTTTGCACAGTCCTTCCTGACCTTAAACGCTAAGAGCGTGGGGGGTGGGGGTGGGAGAGTGGGGGTTGGGGGCCGCTCCCCGGGGTGGGACTGGGGTGAGTGATTTTGCCCGACACGGTGTTTATTAACGGTAGCAATCGTTCCAGCCAAGGCCACGTGTCCCTTAGTGAAAACACGGCGGCTACAGTGAGCTGCTTCCCATGTCCCACCTCCCCCGCCCCCCCCCTCGCCTCAACCCGCAGGTAACCTCACACCAATAGTAAGCAGCACACAACAAGCCATTTACACCACGATGGCTCTCTGCTCATCTCCTGCCGTTTACAGGCTGTTAGCGCTGACACAGGTACTTTGTGATCACACTGACATCAGACCCAGCTCACTGGGTAATAGAGCCCACACACTCACTCACACAGGCTCACACACTCACTCACTCACTCACTCACACAGGCTCACACACTCACTCACTCACACAGGCTCACACACTCACTCACTCACACAGGCTCACACACTCACTCACTCACACAGGCTCACACACTCACTCACACAGGCTCACACACTCACTCACTCACACAGGCTCACACACTCACTCACACAGGCTCACACACTCACTCACTCACACAGGCTCACAGACTCACTCACTCACTCACTCACTCACTCACTCACACAGGCTCACACACTCACTCACTCACACAGGCTCACTCACTCACTCACTCACTCACTCACTCACTCACTCACACAGGCTCACACACTCACTCACTCACACAGGCTCACACACTCACTCACTCACACAGGCTCACACACTCACTCACTCACTCACTCACTCACACAGGCTCACACACTCACTCACTCACACAGGCTCACACACTCACTCACTCACACAGGCTCACACACTCACTCACTCACACAGGCTCACACACTCACTCACTCACACAGGTAAACACGCTCACACACACAGACCCTAAGCCCACCTAGGGAGTCAAAGACTGTTTAGTCCTGGAGTCAGGGAGTTGCTGTGAAGTATTTGCTTTTCTCTGAACAACGACAGCTTTAACCTGTCTCTCTCTCTCTCTCTCTCTTTAACCGTTTGATCAAAATATCCCACAATAATGGCCAGGTATCCCTCAAACTCTTCCCATCAGGTATTGATCAGCTGGCCTGGGCCATCCTCTCAATCAGACATCAGCCTGAAAACTGATTGATCTTCAGGCTCAGACCTCAGCTCCGAGTCTATCTCTCTCTCTCTCTCTCACTCACTCAGTCACTCCCTCACTCACTCACTCAGCCTTGCCTCCAGATCGGAAAGTTTTCAGGTTGGGAACTTTAACAACAGTCCAGGCTGAGGCTCCAGCGTAGTGCTGGTGGGGGAGGAGAGACTGCAGTGTCAGAGGTGTCGGTCTGCAGATGAGACGTTAAACAAAGCTGGTTTGTGGGTCTGTTTTGGTGGACGTTAAAAATCCCACGGAGCAATTGGAAAGGAGAAAGGAGTTTCTCCTGGTGTCCTGGCCAACAATCCCTAGGGTTGCGTGTTTGGGGTGGGGGGGAAAGCTGCCAGGATTTCCGGCAACACCACCATCACTCGACTTACTAGCGAGAAATCCCCTGGGAAGCTCGTGCAGACATTTATTATCATAATATTCACTGTGTGACGCTCCCACAGCGGGCGGTCTATGCACACCCTCCCCACGGTACATACGTTCAATGTCTCTCACTCTCTATCTCTCATTCTCTCTCTGTCTCTCTCTCTCTCTCTCTCTCAGGCTGTGGAGTGTGCCTCGCTGATGACCAGCCTCTCGCGCTGACTATGGCTCTCATTTTATTGCTTCCCTCACTGCTCCCTCGGGCATTTTGTAATAAAAAGTTAATAAAGTATATATATATTATCCTAGGACAAAACCACACAATCAATCCTGGAGCAAAGCTCCCAAATTACACTGCACACCAGAGTAACATATTCCCCATTCATCCTGACCCCACCCTCATCTAAACCCCCACCTCAACAACCCCCTCACTCCAACCTCACCACCCCCTCAAACCCAACCTCACCTCAAACCCCTTCTCAACCCCATCCCAACAGAGTGTATGACTGTACGTGGGTGACTGCGTGCGACACGTTGTGTGACAGCGTGTGAGTGTGCGCGAATGACACAGTGTGCGAGTGAGTGTGCGAGCGACACAGTGTGCAAGCGTGTGTGACAGTGTGCGAGCGTGTGTGAGTGTGCGAGTGCGTGTGACAGCGTGCGAGTGCGCGTGACACAGTGTGTGTGACAACACGCTCCTGTCATGCACAATTATGAACAAGAATTATTTTGCTCTGGGTGAGAGATTGTTAAGAATTGTGTTAATGGGGGGGGGTGGGGGTGGTGTCAGGCTGTGTAACGTGACAACAATCTGTGTGTATGAGCAGTTTATTCACGGCAAAGGGCACTGGCTGACATTGCCTTTTATCAGTGTTCCCTGGGGAGCACGGCATTCAGAGCACACTAATCCTCCCAGCGCCAACCGCACACACAGCCCTGTTAATACTCAGTATCACCACGATAGCAAAGCGCAACATTGCACCACACAGCACTCTGAGATTCCCACACACACCGTCAGCCTTTACTCTGGGTCTGGCGGAGGTGGGGGTCGGGGTGGGGGGATGGGAGGTGGCAGCTCACAGCACCCAACACCTCGACGCCAGTTGACCCTGTGACACCCGAACAGTCAGATACAGAGCATTACATTGATCACACAGCTGTGCGGCCAACAGCACATCTATCTCAGCTCCCAAACACTGCTTTCACACGTGTGTATGTTACAGGAAAGTAATAATACTAATAATAATTCTTGCATTTGATACAGCGCCTTATCACACCTGCGAGATGTCTCAAAGCGCTTCACAGGATATACTGTACTGTGTATTTTGTGTGAGAAACGCGGCAGCCAATTGCTCACAGCAGCGTCCCGCAAACAGTCGTGGATTGAGTGACCAAGTTAATTTTTATTTATTTATTTTGACGAGTTTATTACCCCCCAAAAAAACGATCCACCAATCGACGAACAACCGGGTTCCTACTTACTGCTGGTAAACAGAGGCGTGTGTGTGTGTGTGTGTGTGTGTGGAGTAAGGAAACTTGTCCAACGTTTCACCCTGAGCCCGGGAATCGAACCCAAGTCCTCTCACTTGCGAGGCGAGGGCTCTAACCACTGAGCTACAGGGGCCCACTATTACCCCAAAGCTTCAGTCACTACACTTTACAGTATGTCCTGTGAGGATTATTATTATTATTATTGTGTGTGCGTGTGCAGTATGTGTCTGTGTGTGTGCAGTATGTGTGTGTGTGTGTGTGCGCAGTATGTGTGTGTGTGTGTGTGCAGTATGTGTGTGTGTATGTGTGTGTGCAGTATGTGTGTGTGTATGTGTGTGTGTTGCAGCTGATTTACACCGTCGGGGTAACAGGAAGGAGGTGATGTTGTAATTACGGAAATTAACCAACTTCTCTCTCTGTTTAAAATCAAAACTTAATGTATCCTCTTCCCCTGATCAGGACTCCCCCCCACCCCGTCTCCCCCAACGCCACCAGCAGGCGGGGCCAGGGAGCGGGTAGCGAGCGGTGGGAGGCGTGGGGGGTAGTGTCCGTGTGTGCACCTGTGCATAACGTGTGTGCCTGTGCGTGTATGTGTGTGTGCACCTGTGTTCTGGCTGCCTTTGTGTGTGTGTGTGTGTAGGGGGGGGAAGGTGTGTGTGTGTGTGGGTGGGGGGGGAAGGTATGTGAGTGTGTATGTGCCTGTGTGTATATGTGTTTGTCTGTGTGTGTATGAGTGTGTGTGTCTGTGAGTATATATATGTGTGTGACTGTGTATGTGAGGGTGTATGTGAGTGCGTGTGTGAGCGTGCATGTGAGGGTATGAGTGTGTGTGAAAGTGTATATGAGTGTGTGTGTGTGTGTGTGTGAGAGTGCATGAGTGTGTTTGAGAGTTTATGTGTGTGTGTGTGGGTATGTGTGTGTGTGTGTGTGTGAGAGTGCGTGTGTGTGTGTGAGAGTGCGTGTGTGTGTGTGAGAGTGCGTGTATGTGGGTGTGTGTGAGTGTGTGTGTGTGTGTGAGTGCGTGTGTGTGAGTGCGTGTGTGTGTGTGAGAGTGCGTGTATGTGGGTGTGAATGGGTGTGTGTGAAGACTGTGCTGTGATGGTCCACAGTGAGTGAGTGTCTCTCTCTGAGTGGAGGAAAGTTCTTTTAAATCTAAATTCCTGGAGTGAGACACAGGATATCAGGAGCAGCGTCGCCATGACGACAATATATATTTGATGTTAACCACATCAGGGGCTGCCTCCCCCCCCACTACTCCCCCCCACACAACCCCCACCCCCACCCCCATCCCACTGGGGCTCACTCCCCCCCCTGGAGCTCTCTACTCTAACCCCACTCCCTGCCCTCTCTCTCCCTCTCCCTCTCCCTTTGAAACCTTTAATATTGTTTTTCCTAAAACATCCAATTTCCTTATAAACTCAACAGCTGCTGTTGGTGCAGTGCTTTCCCGGTCTCTCAATACACACGACAGAACAGCGCACACACACACCCCACACACACACTACACCCTCAAAGCCTGCAATACCGACTGTGGGTGCGGTGGGTGGGTGTGTGGTGGGGGCGGGTATATAGGAGGGAGTACATGTGTGTGTGTGTGTGTGTGTGTGAGAGAGGGGTATATACAGGTGTATAGGCTGTGTGTGTACACATCTGTACCACTCCAGCCCTTTCTCCTAGTTTCGGGTTGTATATTTGGTGTGGGGGGGCATATAGGGGTGTATTTGAGGTGTTATGGGGGGATATGAGGGTGTATTTGGGGGGTATATGGGGTGTATTTTTGGGGGAATGTATTTGGGGGTGTATTTGGGGATTATGGGGGTGTATTTTGGGGGTATATAGGGTGTATTTTGTGGGTGTATAGGCTGTATTGGGGGGGTGTTTTGGGGATGTATTTGAAGGGTTATAGGGGTGGATAGGGCTGTATTGGTGGTTACGGAGGTGTACAGGGGTATATTTGGTGGTGTATTTGGGGGGGGGGGTGTTGTGGAGGTGTATAGGGTTGTATGGGGGGGTGTTATGGGGATGTTATGGGGGTGTATTTGGGGGGTGTTATGGGGCTGTATTGGGGGGAGTTATGGGGTGTATTGGGGGGGTTATGGGGGTGTATTTGGGGGGGTTATGGGGGTGTATTGGGGGGTTATGGGGTGTATAGGGCTGTATTGGGGGGAATGTGATGGGGGTGTATTTGGGGGGTGTTATGGGGGTGTATTGGGGGTTATGGGGGTGTATTGGGGGGTTATGGGGGTTTATGGGGGTGTATTGGGGGGGTTATGGGGGTGTATTTGGGGGGGTTATGGGGGTGTACTGGGGGGATTATGGGGGTGTATTTGGGGGGGTTATGGGGGTGTATTTGGGGGGGGGTTATGGGGGTGTACTGGGGGGTTATGGGGTGTATAAGGACAGCAGTTTACCTGTACCACTCCAACCCTTTCTCGTAGTTCCTGTCGAAGAAGTGCGGCTCCACTCCCACCGCTCTGACCGCCGGGTGCGCGCGGATGGCCTCGAGCAGCGCTCGGGTCCCCCCCTTCTTCACGCCGATGATGATGGCCTGTGGGAGGCGCTGCTGCCCTCCGGTCCCGGTCCTGCTCACCTCCTCCGCCGCCGCCGCCGCCGCCGCCGCCGCCGCGCTGCTGGCCTCCGGCTCTCGGGACACCCAACTCCGCCCGGTCACCGGCTCCGGACTCGGCTCACAGTCCTCGGCCGCTCCCGGGCTCCGGGTGCCCTGAGCGGTGGCGGGGACAGCGGTGGGGCCGGGGCCGGGGCCGGGGGGGCGCAGCCCGGGGCTGGAGGTCTCCCTCCCGGTAATGTCTCCCCCGGGATGAGGGGTCTCCCGACTCCCGGGGTCGGGGCTGGAGCTCCCGGTCCCGGGATTGAGACCCCCGGTCCCAAGGCTGGGGTTGGGGGGATCTTTCCCGGGAGTGGGGGTCTCCCGGATCCCGGGGTCGGGGCTGGAGCTCGGGGTCACCCTCCCGGGTTTGGGGGTCTCTCCCCTCCCGGTGACGTCTCTCCCGGGGCTGAGGGTCTCCGTCCGGGGGCCGAGCCCCTGGGGCGCTCTCAGGCGCTCCTGCAGGGTCAGTGTGTGGGCGCGGGGCTGGAGGCGGGGGTCGGGCCGGGGGGGGGGTGGAGACGGAGGGGCCCGGGGCCCGGGGGGGAGCCGGTGATCAAGTTGTAGCACAGGTAGGTGAGGGAGAGCGAGAGGCTGACCGCCAGCAGCGCCCCCCGGGACCACCTAGCGGGGTGCCGGCCGCCCCCGGTCATGGCTGCCCCGCGCGCCCGGAACCCGCATCTTCCTACTCCGGCCCGCGGGCCCAAGGCGGCCCGGGGGCTCGGCCGCTTGCGGACCCGAACGAGCGAACGGTGACTGCGACCTAATGCCGTTCCCGGGAAACTGACCAAACCGGCACCAGCTGCCGGGGTCCGCTCCCCGCGGCTTTACATGGCACCTGAACCCCGGCTCGGCTCAGCCCGGCCCGGCCCGGCCCCCCCGCATCGCTCGGCCTCACCCACACTCCCGCTGCCGGTCCCGGAGCCGCCGCACAGCCGCTGATACACACCACCGGTAACCGCCAACATCCACCGCCCGCTAACCGCCCATCCGCTCACCCGCTCACCCACTCACTCACCCACTCACTCACTCACCCACTCACCCACTCACTCACTCACCCGCTCACCCACTCACTCACTCACTCGGGGCCACACTCCGATCCCCGCTCCACAGTCACTAACCCGTGTCACAGATGCCAACAGCTTCTCTCTGGAGCTCTCTCTCTCTCTCTATCCCTCTATTGCTCCCTCTCTCTCTCTCTATCGCTCTCTCTCTCGCTCCAGCTCTCGCTTTCCCTCTCTCTGTCTCTCTCTATCTCTCTATTGCTCTCTCTCTCTCTCTATCCCTCTATTGCTCCCTCTCTCTCTCCAGCTCTCTCTATCTCACTATTGCTCTCTCCCTCTCTCCAGCTCTCTCTCTCTCTATTGCTCTCTCTCTCTCTATCCCTCCAATGCTCCCTCTCTCCAGCCCTCTCTCTCTCTCTATCGCTCTCCTCTCTCTCTCTCTCTATCGCTCTCTCTCTCCAGCTCTCGCTTTCCCTCCCTCCCTCCCTCCCTCTCTCTCTCTCTCTCCCTCCAGCTATCTTCTCCAGTTCGCACTGTCTCTCTCGATTTCTAGAGCCCTCCTCCCCTCCCCTCCTCTCTCTCTCTCTCTTTCTCACACTCCCTCTCTCACACCCACTCGCACAGACCAGCGAAGTTCTCTCTGACCGATCTGTCTCACAAGGCGCCGTCTGTGTCTCTCTGCGGCCGCCCACGACATCTGTGGTCATTCTCAAGCCTGGGTCAGGCTCATCCCCCTCTCCCCTGGGGTCAGGAGGTTTGTGGGTTCGACCCCCACCCCCCCCTCCCTCTCTCTCCCCCCTGGGGGGAGAGAGAGGGAGGGGGGTGGGGGTCGAACCCACAAACCTGCTGACTCAGGAGGAGAGGGGGATGAGCCTGACCCAGGCTTGAGAATGACCAGAGGAGAGGGTGTGTTCTCTGAGCTCACGGTCCAGTCCCGAAGCTCCGTCTGTCCAGCGCCTCGGGACGTCCTCCCGACGTGAAAGGCGCTTTACGAATTATCATGTTGTTGTTGGTGCTCCAGTGTAGCGCTGGGGGGTGGGGGGGAGGGGGGAGGGTGGGGAGGGGAGGGGTGGGGGGCGCGGAGCGGGGAAGGGCTGCATTATCGGAGGAGTCGTCCTTCGGATGAGATGTTAGACCACGTGTCTTATGCCCTGTTCAACGGACGTTTAAGGACTCGCGGCGCGATTGTAAAAGAGAAGGGAGTTTCTCTCTCTCTCCCTCTCTCTCCCTCGCTCTCTCTCTCTCTCTCTCCTGGTGTCCTGGCCCGACAATCCCCCCCCCCCGACCGACAACGTCAATCACTCACTCACTTCCCTGCTTTTTTTGGGGGACGTTGCCGTGCGCAAACTGGCTGTCGGGTTCAACTACCCCCTTTTCTCTCCTGTCACACATCTTTCCTCCCTCTCTCTCTCCTCCTCTCCTCGTCCTTTCTCTCCTCTCGTTTCTGTCTCTCTCTCTCTCTCTCTCTCTCTCCCCACCAGCGGGTGAGTTGCTGACATTCGGTTCAATTGGTTCATTTTGTTTTTGCTGAATTCAGAAGCAGAGAAAATTTCAGTCAAAAGGAGCTGCTTTCATTGAGAGTTTCCCAATCACAAATACGCCTCATTCTCCTGCAAACACACGGTCACTACACTTCTCTGTAAATCCCGTGAAGGGCTTTCTGAGAGTGGGGGGGGGGGAGTTATTTTGTTTTGCTGACACTTACAGAAACCCATCACCGTTGCTTTAAGAGTCTCCAAACCAGGCTGAGAATTCCAGGCATCCCAACCAACACATGGAAATCCCAGAGACAGATTGTTGGGATGGAATGCATTCTCTCTCTCCCTGGAGGGACACGTCCTGCTTACCTAATTCCGGAGGGTATTAGGCGCAGGTTGGCGAGAGCCAAGGCTTGGGGGGGAGGCCCAGAGCATGCGTTGGGATAACTGCTGGAGTCTAACCAGCTCAACCCACACATAGCTTGGCCATTGAGGGAAAGAGAGAGAGAGAGAGAGAGTGCTGTCTGGCCAAGCTTTCCTGCTGCTTGTCCAGCTTGGACCACCCTCCCCATTAAGGCTTTGGCTGCAGGTTAACAGGAGCTGAGGGGGAGGATTCCCCGCCCTCCCCCCAGTGACTGCTCGGCCCTTCCAGGTCCTGCCGATGACCCAGGCCGGTGCTGTGCTGTCATCAGCAGCGAGTGCCCTGGAACACTGCGGACCCTCCTGGCTCAGGGGGCGGCTCGATTCTGACATTCTGTGGCCAAACATGTCACCTGGGAGCCAGTTCGGCCCTGAGGACACGTGGGGGGGAGGGGATAAGCGAGGTCTCCTCCATGTACAAGCCGGGGGTCTGGCTGACTGATGAGTGGGAGCAGCCAATAGAAGACTCTCTACTGCCCCTGGCGGGCCACGTGGAGGCTTTCCTGCCTCCAATAAATCATCTCCTTTTTCCCCAGCACCTTGCTCAGGTAAGCGGGTGCGGTGGTGGGGGTGGGGGGGGGGGGGGGGTGGTAACGTGTCTCTGGGTAACCGTCACGGCTGGCCGCAACCCGACCGGCACAGGAGTTGGGGGTGAATGTTTGCGGAATTTTTTTATTTCGAAAAGTAATATCAATTTGGTCTCTCAACCCACGGCTGTTTGTGGGGACGCTGCCGTGTGCAATCGGCTGCCCCGTTTCGCCCACAAAAGACACAGTCAATTCACTTCGCAGGATATTCTGTGAAGCGCTTTGAGTCGTCCTGAAGATGTGATAAGGGGCTGTGTTAAATGTGAGGATTATTATTATGGAAATCCCTCCCCTACCTCTCTCTCCTGCCCCCCCCCCCCCCCCCGCCCCCCCAGTGAAAGCATTATAAAGAGCAATGTGTGAAGTTGCTGTTTGCTCACTCAGCCTCGCAGTGTTTGAGATGAAGCTGGAACAGGAGCTGTCGGCCGCTCAGCCAAGGGTGAACCTCCCAAACACAACACTTGTCGAGGATCGGTTTCAATTAGAGCAGGTCTGACACACGGCTCTCTGTCACACCGACTGTCAGCATCACCATGTGTGTGTACCACTGACTGTCACTGTGTGTGTACCACTGACTGTCACTGTGTGTGTGCCACTGACTGTCATTGTGTGTGTGCGCCACTGACTGTCACTGTGTGTGTGCCACTGACTGTCACTGTGTGTGTGCCATTGACTGTCACTGTGTGTGTACCACTGACTGTCACTGTGTGTGTGCCACTGACTGTCACTGTGTGTGTACCACTGACTGTCACCGTACCATTGCCTGTCACTGTGTGTGTGCCACTGACTGTCACTGTGTGTGTGCCACTGACTGTCACTGTGTGTGTAGCACTGTCACCGTACACTGACTGTCACTGTGTGTGTGCCACTGACTGTCACTGTGTGTGTGCCACTGACTGTCACTGTGTGTGTGCCACTGACTGTCACTGTGTGTGTACCACTGACTGTCACCGTACCATTGCCTGTCACTGTGTGTGTGCCACTGACTGTCACTGTGTGTGTATCACTGACTGTCACTGTGTGTGTACCACTGACTGTCACTTTTCCGACAGAGCCACAGAGATCTTTAATGTCCGTCTGAACAGGGCACAGACGGGGAGTGAGGTTTAACGTCTCATCTGAAGGACGGCACCTCTGCCAATCTGGAGCCCTCTCCCCTCCAGCGCTGGGCTGGAGTGTCAGCCTTACCTGTGAGCTCAGAATCCCTGACGTGTGTGTGTGTGTATGTGTGTGTGGGTCGGTGACCGTACGCCACGGTCGAAGAGGAAGGTTTTCAGGTGCCACCTGAAGATGAGGAAGGAAGGGGCAAGACATTCCCCCAGTGGGAATGAGGGTAGAATTGTGATCTTGTTCTAATTCGGCCTCTCTCCTCATGGTGTGGATTGTAAAAGAGACATTTATAAGCACAGTTCGTCACCTGCAGAACAAATCAATAGTTAGGCATCGTTTATCAACACTACCTCCTGTCAAATTGCCAATTTCCCAGCCAATACTTTTTAAATGATTTTGTAAAAAGAGTCTGTCTTTCTGTCTTTTCTCTATCTCTCCATCTCTTCTCTGTGTAATAAAATAATAATAATAATATTCCCTGCACTTTACAGAGCCTTTCAAGTCAGGAGCACGGCCCAAAGTGCTTCACAGGAGTATCCTGTAAACTGTAGTGACTGTGTGTTATGTGGGTGTGTTTTCCTTTGCCTCCTTCAAAACACGTCTCAAGAATCTCCTCTTCGACCTTGCCTTTGATCACCCTCCTCCCCACCACACCCCCACCCCCCGCCCTCCACTCTCCCCAATCCCGATCCCCAGCTCAGGGAAACACTGATTGTACAGTTTCTTGGGACGTCCTCCTGACATGAAAGGCGTTTCACACATGTCATTTTGTTGTTGTCGCTGTTAAAACGTGGCAGGCAATTTAAACACAGCAATGTGCCCACGAACAGCCATAAAGTGTGCGAGTGATTTTATCTGGGGGATTGTCGACCAGGACACTGGGGGAGAGAGAGAGAGAGAGACTCCCTTTTGGGTCCTGAGATCTCGTGATCTAACGGAATCTCACACCAGAAAACCACAGAGAATCACAGAGACCGAACTGCACGGAATCAGGCCGTCAGCCCAAATAATGTGTCTACCCTCTGCCCCAGTGAGCGGCAGACAGCACATGGGACACAGCTCCCTCCACACTGCCCTTCACACCAACATTAACATTAACACTAACATTAACAGGCTGCTCACTGTAAGGCCATCCATTAAGCAGCTGCCAGCTCGGTTGATACTTAATCGATCGCCCGGACACAATGGCGATCAATAACATCAAATTCCACCGCTCACGTCAGCGAGAGATAGACTCCGCTGTGTGTGCGCCAGCCAGCGACAGCCATACAGCCCCATCACCATTCAGCACCTCACACTGAATCTACGTGTAGTGACTGTGCAGGTCTATATACACACACTGAGCCAGGCTGACACACACACACACACA